TGCTCTGTTCTCGCTTTCCATGCAGATTTCTTTTATGATTAAGATTTATAAAATAAATAGTAGATACTAGTTTGCAATATAAGGGTGTATTCATTGCTATTTTAATTATGTCTAGTGTTAATGAATTTGAAACCTGTTTTGTGTCGTTTAAGTATTTCAAAAGATAATTTTCTATTTAATGAATTTCCCATATAGCGAACTTAATATCGTTATTTAGCGACTTCTTTAAATAGAGATCCGACTGTATTTTGATTAAAGTGTGATTATTTTTTATTAGAGGATAAATGTTGGGTAAAATCTCAAAATCACAGACAAAACAGCCTGTTCTATGAAGAAAAAGTATATGTGACTATGAAGGAAAAAAAATAATGTGCGTGAGGGAGAATAAGAGTTATGTGATCCGGACAGCAGTAACTTTTAAAAAGAGAAGAATTTTTTTAGCTTCTGAACTTCGATCCCGCGGAATTGATCTCCGCGAAACTAATACCACAAACATCAATGCAGGATCTCACCCTGATTCTGATCTCATGGGAGCGGAATTGCATTCCTTACCTCTTGATCTAAATTTCACTTAACTTATCTTAATTTCACTAAACCTTGAAAACTTTCCACAGCCGAATCGGAAAATATTTGCTCGCAATTATAGAATTCGCATTATACCAAAATAATTCAATGTAAGTTATAACTTTAATAATCATTTAATATTTTTTTAATAATTTATTTATTAGTAATTAAAAAGTTTTTGAATTGTAAGACTTAAAATTTTTGCATCATTTTAAGGAATGCAACTTTAAATCGCAAAATATTAAATTCAATCGATTAGTATCGGAATAATACAATTTTAAGAAGTAGTAGGGCAATTCCACGGAAGTGTCAACTTTTAAGTGAAATTTTCATTTTTATGAATGGCATATTTTAATTTTAAAAATATGTTCAAAAATAGCCAAAGTCCACATATTGCCGTTTCATTTTTGATAATTTTAAATTTTTTGAATCTGGCAGCATTCTAAAGTAATCTCATGGCTGACAAGTGAATAGTTCACATTTGTGCTCAAATTGTTTTCTTGAAAAATACTTATAAAATAAAAGAAATGCATCTTTCTTTTGCAATATTTTGATAAAAATATGCATATAGAACAAAATTTAAACATTTTAAGTTTAATATATAAAATAAAAGTAACTTCTTTTACATCATTCCGTCACATGTCTTAATAATGCATAAATTTCCTGAGGACGAAGATAGGATGTGACATTGGCAACTTAGATATAAAACCTCTTCAGAGACAACCTAATTTTCAAACTGTAGAAATTCTTACTAATTCTTACATAAATATTAATCCTGTTTATCTGTTACATTCTGTTTATCATTTACATATTAATAAAACATTTTTTAAATGAAGACTTTCTTCTACTAAACTTTTTGTCATTCCGTCACGATCATTCCGTCACAACAAATAGATGTTAATAACTGTTAGCCAACCTGAGGTTAATTTTCCAAATTCACATTTTACATTGCTTACACATTATACTAAAAGTATAAAATAGTTCAGAAAAATAATAGCTGCAAAATTCGCAGAAACTACCAGTTCTAAGCGGCATGCCAAAAGCTTGGTTGCCAAAATGTCATTCCGTCACGCAAATAAAAAGATCGTAAAATTAAAAGTAAAAAAGATGGAAAATCCTGTTTTTTTAGTTTATGAAGCGCATTATGCCAATAATAATGATATGCATGAGGAAAAAAAAATTTTATTTGAAATTCGATGCATAGAAACTTCAATTAATTGTTATTTTGCTAGTNTAAAATTAAAAGTAAAAAAGATAGAAAATCCTGTTTTTTTAGTTTATGAAGCGCATTATGCCAATAATAATGATATGCATGAGGAAAAAAAATTTTTATTTGAAATTCGATACATAGAAACTTCAATTAATTGTTATTTTGCTAGTCAAAATGTCATTCCGTCACAAATGGAATTGCCCAGTATATTAAAATGGTGATTTCTCGAAAACTATACGACCGATTTTTTACAAATTTCAAATGTTGCAAAAATTCGCATACCTTACAACTTAAATTTATGAAATAATATATGAAATAGTTATGAAAAAATCATTTTCTTTACGTAGAATTATCTTTGAATAAACAAAATATTTTGTGTGAAAATATGTTTCAATTCGTGTAAATGTTTTCGAAATATGTCGAAATACGCAGAAAGTGAAGTTAACATTAACGATTTCAAATTTTCGAATTCTGTCTGCTTAAACTTTTTTCCAGATTGCAGCTGCCCTTTTTCCATAATTTCGTTAAAATAATACATGTTCATTTAAGGAAGTACTTTTTTGCGTCTGATTTCGTAACTCACAATATCCTCTGTGCTAATTAATTTCTATATTTAAGTTTAAATCCTAAAACTATTGAGATTGAATTTTATTAAACGAATATCCGATCATTAGTTATTCGATGTATTTGCTTTTATTGTGCACTGTACATTTATAAGCTTTAATTTTGACACACTGTAATGAAATAATTGAAAATCTTATTGTGAATCACTAATAAACTACAAAAAAAGTTATAAAAATAAAAAGTAGTAGCAAAATGATTTAGTGCATTTTACAGTTATTAGTTACATATTTTGTAATTTAAGCACAATTTTTATTACTCTCCATTTAAAAAACATTGATTATAATCTTCATTATGCAAATTTATTTATATTTCTTCCAGAAAATAGTAAAAATTTTCAAACACATTTTCTTCTATAATTATTTTTTAGCCAATAAATGAACCAATAAAACTTCCTTATTTGTTAATAAGCTTTATTTATTAAAAATAAAAACAATTATTTTTAGTAAGCTTTTTAATTTATGTTTAAATTAAATCGTTTAATTACAAATTTAAAATAATTTACAGGAATATTCAACTTTTAAAATACAAAATATTTAATAAAGTTAGTAAATCTTATTATAGGTTCAAGCATTTGAACATTCAGAAAAACGTAACAGACAAATTATAAAAATGTTTCTGGCTGTTTTTAGAAAGAAGCAGAGTCATTATCGCATTTTATTCATTTAATAATAGCACGACAGTTCATCCTCAACTCTAGTCCGACAAAGAAAGAATTCCAAGAAGGAGGTTGTTGACAGGTGATAGTAATTTTAGAATAGTTTTTATTAAGTCTCTGATGTTTCACAAAAAAAAACTTCTTGTCAACACCATCACTTCCATTCTTTGCATGTTTGCAGGCATGATTTGGGTTTTTATAAATTTATGTCACAGAAAAGTATTGAAAGAGATTCCACTCGAAAGTTAAGGCATCTAAAGCATGTCTTTGAAAGATTAGCGAACTTCCTTACTAAATGTTTGCAGTGCCCCGATGCGGTAATAGACTTAACTACACGTTGATGCATTGTTTATGTCATAGGAGAAATATATGTATTAGTATTACAAGTCTCACACAACATAAATTTGCGCAATCGTAACTTGTTTAAATATTTTTATGGAAATGAAACAAAAAGCTCTTAACTTTAAGACTATAAGTATAGTTGTAACATTGACTTAAAATAGACGCAATAATAAACAAAAATAATATTGGGTAACGGAAGTAAACCAAGTTATTAACAATAAATTGCAACGTGCCTACTTGTTAAGTCCTCAGTATGAACTAGACACTTCTTTCAAAAACGAATATTAGGTAGGTACTTCATTCACTGTCAAACTAGACGGTCTAGGAAACATCTCTAAGGAGGATCCGAAGTCACCAAATATGAATGACTAGATAGTTCTAATGCAAGGAGGACAAAAAAGAGTCTAAAAATGCATTGTGATGACGTCACAAGGGATCGTCCTTAATTTTTCGTACATGATAAATATTTAAATCCGTATAGATGTATATAAAGAGATTCCATTCTAATGAAGTATGAGAAGGAACCACACTTGAAATTGAAATTATCGTATTCTTTTTTTAATTTTTAATTGAATTTATGAAATTAGTTATGTATTTATTTGTTTTTTTAATTGCATTAACTGTTGAAGATTGTTTTTAAAGATATGTCGAATGTTGATAAAAGCAAAGCATATACAATTCTTTTTTCATCACTTAAAGTAAATTAAGAGTTATAATTTAACATGTTTCTATTTTTTCTTTTCCTTCATGCATTTATATTTTGAATGTAACATATGCATTTGAAAAGCAAGCTGAGTGCTTCGAAACTAATGGAAAAATAAATATGGAAAAGTGTTATTTCTTATAATTACTACATAAATGCTTTTAAATAACTTATTCATATAGATTTTCCTTTCTCCTGTTCAAAGAAGAATTTTTCATGAAGCGGGGTTAAAAGAAAATAAAAATAAGTAAATAAAATAGTCAAGATTCTAAATTATATACTGTAGAGCAGCGTTTCGTAAATTGTATTCCGAGGAACCCTTGGATTCAGTGGGAAGTTTAAAAGGTTCCAAGATTTAAAAATCCTTGAAAACAATTTTTCCTAATATTTTCATATAAAACTTGTCATTAAAGTTATATCCTTTTAATAATCCATTATTTACTTAATATTTCCATTGCCTTTACGAAATTATTTAAAGTAAAACGCCTATGAGAAATAAATAGCAATTTTTTGATGAAAATATAATCTTTCTAGTATGTATGGAATAAGTTATGAAAAAGACAGGCTTTAGAAAAATTGTAACAGCATTTAAAATAGCAATTGTATGCAAAGAGAAAAGCTACGAAAACCTTCCAAGTAAGCCCGACGGCAAGGGTATTTTAACCGTTGATCCGTCAATTACCTGAGGATATTTTTACGTCACCACTGTGGTTGGTGCAAACCAGGTGCGGAGGCAGCCATCACAGGGATTCGAAACCGTCCCACCTGCTACTAACTCACAGAACCTGAAACTACTACTCACAGAAATATACAGTGGCTTATTCGGGGATGGTTCGCCAAATTGGATCATTTTGGCACAGTTACCGAAATGGAAATCTTGAAATTTATTTAAATAGACTTACCATATGGAGATTGTTTCCACGAGGAAAAATAATAGAAGCTATGGGCCTTCTCGTCGTCAATATCCATGTCTCTCAGTTCTTGCGGACCCTTCATATACATGGTTTCGATTTCTTCCACTCTTGGTAATGCTGAATCTATATCACTATATGATTCGTCAAGCTCTTTCCTCCATGAAGATTTAAACTGAATCTTCAACAAAACATTAAATATAAGTGTAATAAATGAGAAAATGCACGGAATCGTTTAAAAAGTACATTCAAATTCAATTGCTTTAAACTCATAAGTAGAAGTTTGAATTAAATAAACAAATCTTCTGTTTCACACTAACTGTCCAATAAGGCAAAATAGCGTACTGATAGGCAGTGTAGCCATGAAGACAAGCCTAATAAGTAAAGATTAGAATCAAATGTGGCTAATTAGGAGCTAACAGTATATACTGCTTATGAAACTGCATAGTTTTTCAAAATGCTGACTCAATGAAAAAACTTAAAATTGTTAATCAAATCAGAGAGTAATCTCACGGAATTACCATACCTAAATATCCTTTTAAATAGTTTAAAGGCGATTAGTGCCTGTAAAGATATAGTTGTTACGGTGAAACACCGAAAACTGGAAAATGTCGACATTCACCGGTGAATGTCAACATTCACGTAGTCGCTTTGGTGAATGTCCGAAAGATTTGTTATATCCAATTTTATATTAATTTATTCGTTAATATTATTACATTTATTTGATATATTTATATTTATTCAATATTTTAATACTTACTGACGATAGATTCGAAGAAATATCAGTGTTTGGAGTATTGGGCAAATATATAACGGGCAATGGCACTTGATCTTAAAAAAAAATCAGTGTAGGGTATACCCGGCAAATGTATACCGAGCAGTGACACTTAACCTTAAAAAAACATCAGTGTAGGGTATACCGGGCAAATGTATACCGAGCAGTGGCACTTAATCTTAAAAAAACATCAGTGTGGGGTATATCGAGCAGTGGCACTTAACCTTAAAAAACATCAGTGTAGGGTATACCAGGCAAATGTATACCGGGCAGTGGCACTTAACCTTAAAAAAACATCAGTTAAAATATCGAATAAATGTAATTATATCCACGAATAAATTCATATCAAATCGAATGTAATAAATATTTCGGACATTCACCAAAGCATATCTGTGATTGTCGACATACACCGGTGAGGGTCCGAATGTACAAGAATGTAATGAAATATTCGATCTTTCACCGACGTATTTGGTGTTTGTCGACATTCACCGGTGAAAGTCAACAATCACCGATTTCGGTTTTTCGCCGTGACATAGTTACTAAAAAAATAACAATTTTTTTACTATATTTTTACGTTTAAAGCCGTGGAAATACATCAAAAGTTTATTAAAAAGAAGTTCGAGTTAATCACACTTACTCGCACTTTAGCTTTAGTCTTCAACTTCGTCTTCACGAACTTGAGTTTCGCCGATATAGATATAAACAAAATTTTAAATGTGATTGTAATTTGTACATCAATCTTTTTCTTCTCGTTTTCAAATTCTAGAGATACTAAGAACAATTCATTTCCACCGAGTTCAATCTCGCTTAGAAATAGGGCTGAATCTGCGACGGTGCTTTTGGGACTCGGATTGTGCAGAGTTAATATGCCTTTGCTCAACTCATAACTGCTGATCAAGTTTAGAGTCTTTTTTGTTGTCTCAGTGGTGACTGCTACATTAATCTGAAAATTTAAAAAAATAACATGTGAATTAACAAAATATATATATGCATATCAATAATTATTAATATACACCGAAGAGCCATTACATTATGACCACCCTCCATCTATAACAATGGGCTCGCCCAGGTTTTCATGGTTTCTCGCCCAGGAACAATGTTTTTATGGGGCGCATAAGGACCCATAATCCTCACAGAACAATCCCTGACGTCTGTAAGCTACTTGAACATAGTTGCAGACCAGGTTCACCCATTCATGGCAACAGTTTTTCCTGCGTGGGATGGTATTTACCAACAGGATAATGCACCATGTCATAAGGGTCGAATCGTCATGGATTTGTTCGAGGAACATTCCAGTGACTTTCAAGTCATGTCTTGGCCCCCAAATTCACCTGACCTTAATCCAATAGAGCATTTGTGGTCCTATTCGTGCTGCCACGCTACCCCCTCGCAATGTGAGGGAATTGCAGGACCAGTTGGTGAGCGCTTGGTACGAGATACCTCAGACTACCCATCAGCACCTTGTGGAATCAATGCCTCGGCGGGTGCCAGTAGTTTTGAGGGCTAAAGGTGGTCCTACGTGTTATTAGCAGGGTTGTCATAATGTAGTGACTCTTCGGTGTAAATTAGTATATACAAATAATTCTCAGGCTTTTATCAACAAATGTATAATTCTTAATATAAAATGGTTTCACAAAGTATCTAACAATGAATAATTCAAAATCAGCAAGCAAAAACTAATCGAAATGTAAATCAGAGAATGCAAATGGCGATGAATTGGACATATTATCAGAAAACCATAAAAATTGAAAGTAAGACAGGCGCTGGACTGGATACCCCCTAGGTAAACGAAAGAAAGACAGACCTAAATTCACAAGTCTATTATGAATGAATGAAAGACAATAAACAGGACATGAAGAGAAGTAAATTTCTTTCCCGCCAACAGGGAGAGATAGAGTGTCACGGCAAAAGCCCTACGGAGTGAAGAGAAAGAGGTTAATGTAAGCAGGTTGTTCAACAGAAGACTGTCTGATCTCAAAATAAAAAATCTCGGAAACAGTGGATGATAGATGAATAAAACAGTGTGACCGATGAAGTGTTTATTGTGAAAACTGTAAAATTTTCTACAGAAATTTTATAATCTATACATAAAAATAAAAGCGACTGTGTGTGTCTGTAATCACAATATATCGCCCCAGAAGCCTCGCCCAGGCACGAAACTCGGCACATAATTCTGTTTCGACATAATGAAGAAATTTTTTTTTTTCCTTTTCAAAAATTTGGATTAGTTTTTTAGCTATCAGTCATTTTGTAAGAAAATCTATGCTTTTTCGTCTTCAAAGAGCCATATTCAAAAAACTAATAAAAAATTCATATGCTTTTCTCCACTCTTATAAATGTATGCTAATGCGAACCTTACAATTGAAATATTAATTTTCGACAACTTAAACCAATAATATACGAAGGAATTAATAATTTAATTGTAAGGTTCGCATTAGTTTACATTTAT